AAAAATAACCTTGGGTGTCCTCTAACTTCAGCACAAACTGTGCATTGGTTGCACTTCAGTAACCCATCATTTTACACACCACAGGCATTTAGGAGCCCCTTCATACAGCTTCATTATTTGAGTTTGATTACTGTCACACTCAGTAAAATGCCAACTTGAGATGTATGATTGTTCTTTGTTTATCCAGTCCACGATTTATAGACACGAAGCCCCGGTGTTACTTTTAAGAAAATGGTTCACCTGTGTAGCTGAACACCCTCGTCATATCCAACACATCTCACTGCAAAAGGCGTGTGGATATTACAGAGAGGTCCATTGCCTGTAAATGTGACTGCACAGCCAAGCAAGTGGGAAGTGAGGAAAGCTGTGTGCTATTGTACCATTATTATTTATTCATCCACCCCACTGAGCGAGTCGTCTTTGCAGACATGCCGTGTTCACAGCTGCTCACTGCTCGCAGCCAGCAAAGTCACATGTAATGATGAGGAATTGCCCAGCACCGATCTGCGCACTCCAGGTGTTGAAGAACAGCGCCTGAATGCACTGGATTAAAAACATTTGAAATGTGAACGCCACCGCTCTGTGGCAGAACCTCTGCCGCCTTCTGATCAGAGGGGCTGACCTGCAAGTCACCCACTCTGTATTTAATAATAATGTTCATGCAGCTGTTTAAGTGCATGTGATGGGATTGTAAAAATCATACTGAGCACAGGATAAATATACGCATAAATCCCCTTTAGTTTAAAGATACAACCTATTAAAATACAGAACAGCTCTGTCAATAGTTACAGCCCATTTATCACCTCTCAATCATCACAAGTAAGCATAATTTTTAGATGATGCTGCTCACTTTTCTGGTCTTCATTTGCACTGTGCAAATGAACGTTTACTGTGTTCACAGTAAACGTGTACTGTACACGTTTACTGTGAACACAAAGGGTTTTCTAATGCAAAACAAATGAAATTGCATGCAAATAGTAGACAGTGATAAAGAAGCAGAGGCAGTTTGTGATCAACAGCAGCAGGAAATGCAGATAAAATAACAGGTTGAGATTCCTGCAAATGCCTGGGTGTATTGCAGAGTTGTTGTAGACGTATAAACTGTAATATTTTGGTGTGTGCAGCATTCATGGCAGTGTGACGAGCCGAGCGGGCATCAGTGAAATGCGAGGTGACAGCAGAGCGGAGGGAAAAATTGCTGGACGAGCGCCCATCGGTGGCATTATTAGTCATGAACAGAGACATAACGTAGTGAAGTGGGCGGTGTTGTGTTGCGTAGCGAGACTTCACAGTCTAACAACTTATAACATTTTCCATGCAGTTTTTCTGAGATGGTTTGTGAGGAAAGCTAAAAAGTAGGTGAAATGCAAGAGAGAACTGTCAGTCGAATTTCTCATCCTCTCTGCAACGTGCCTCAGAAGATAAAGCTCAGAGCTTTGCTTCATTAACGCAGATTTATCGTCTCTCTTTCTCAGCGTTAGGAGCAGCGTATGGGACGGCAAAGAGCGGCACAGGCATCGCTGCCATGTCTGTGATGCGGCCAGAGCTCATCATGAAGTCTATCATTCCTGTAGTCATGGCAGGTATCATTGCCATCTACGGGCTGGTGGTGGCTGTGCTGATAGCGAACAACATATCTGAGAGAGTCTCTCTTTACAAGTAAGCTAAACTTCTCATACATAAGGATCTTTGTTTGTTTGTCATATAGTGATGCTACAGTAAAATAACAATCTGAATTTCATTGTCTGTGTCTAACGTGTCATTCAAGTCCTTAACATGCCACTTTCTGTGAAGACTTGTTGAGCAATTTGATGTAGTCCAGTTATTAATAATGCATAGAAAGATTGCAGATTTGAAACTGGGCTTGTTCTTTTCAGAATTCAGCGCTTTTATTCAGACCTTTGGTTAGAATTGCTAAAAAGCAGCAAATACAACAACAAAAACATGTAGAGTGAAACTGCTCATCTCTGCACCCTCTTTCATATTTTTTCATGCAAGTTTAAAAGGAGGAACAAGAGAGAGGAGTGAACATAGTTTCAGTGCACAACTTGATGCTACATATAAAACTCACTGAGTATTTCTAACCTATGGACAAAAAAGATGTTTCAGTTCAATTCTATAGCACCAAATCACAAAACAGTCGCCTCAAGGCCCTTTATATTCTAAGGTGAAGACCCTACAATAATACAGAGAAAACCCCAACAATCAAACTGCCACGAGCAAGCACTTGGCAACAGAGGGAAGGGGAAAAACTCCCTTTTAACAGAAGAAACCTGTGGCAGAACCAGGCTGTGAATGCTCCTAACTTCACAAAACAAGTATTTTCTACTGCTTCTCTTCAACAGGAGTTTCCTGCATCTCGGTGCCGGTCTGAGCGTTGGCCTGAGCGGCCTGGCGGCCGGGTTCGCCATCGGCATCGTGGGTGACGCCGGCGTGAGAGGGACCGCTCAGCAGCCTCGGCTGTTCGTGGGCATGATCCTGATCCTGATCTTTGCCGAGGTGCTGGGTCTTTACGGGCTCATTGTGGCCCTCATCCTATCTACAAAATAAGTGTCTCCATCATGCCACCATCTCATTCATTCCACATCAGAGCAGCAAGAACAAATAGGAGATTTTCACCTACTTCCATTACAGCCGGTGGGTCTGACAGGACGGGATGGCGACAGAAACACATTGGCGTTCGACTTTGATAGCTCTGTCCTCAGATAGGTTTCTATCCATATTGTTTAAAGCCATCCAGTTGTGTCAGGTCTTGTGCGTACAGAACGGGCATGAACATGTACTGTGTGTTGTGGGATGATGTGTGGACAGTCTGCCTGATTTATTGTCTGATCTTAAACTGTACAGTGATCCAGAGCCCCCCTGCCCCCCAGTAAATGTAGTAACCAGTCTGTGCTGTGAGTGTGAGTATCAACATTTACCCCCCTCTGCCCATTCCCCTCCTTTGGTTTATTTATGTATTCATTTATTTATTTGTTTCTTTGTTTTTTGTTGTGGTTTATATTGTCAACCTCTGTTTAAGACTGCTGAAGATATCGTGAACACCAGTATTTTATTTTTTCATGTTCTTTTCTGGGACCATTTTTGAAACTTTTTTTTTTCACTATTTATGGACAGTTATGAAGATTTTGAAGCTATCTAAATGGAGTACTGTTTATTGAATACCCTATATACATAAAAAATATATAAATTATCTGTGTATAGTTAGATTAATTGCACTGTGGGTAATTGTTATAAGTGCTTGGAATTCCTCTGGATGTAGTGTGAATATTAATGGAGGATGTCCACATGTTCATATGGAGTTGACTGTGCGTGTGCGTGAATGATCTGAGTACATAATGTATGCAAGTGGATTTATGTTTAATATGACGTCCTCAGACACTTGTATCGTTTACCTGTAGTGCTGCTGTCTTGATTTGTTTGTTTTATTTTGTTGAAGGTGAGCGCTCACTGTTCAGCCATGCCTGTCAGATTTCCAAATAAAACTCAACCTCCTCCAGAATCTCACTGTCCAGTATTTATTTTTAAAGTGTATCTGTTAATGAAATGTCCAAACACTGCAAAAGGAAAGCAGACAGCGGATACCTAAACATTTAAATGCAATCTAAAACTGGCCAATATGTTGGGTATTTTTACCCCAAACAGTTTCAGCTACACGTTCTTATATTGATAAAAGTAGTTATTTACTTTTGGTCTTTAGAAAGAATGTCTGTCTGGTCCGTAACATTACCTGGTCTCATGAGTCTTGACATTCAGGTGGTAATATCAGAATTTGGCATAAATAACATGAATGCATGGATCTATCCTGCATTGTATCAACAATTCAGGCTGCTGCTAATGGTGTAATGATGTGGGCGATATTTTATTGGCACACTTCAGGCCTTTGGTAATAACTGAGCATCATGTAAAACACCTACCTGAGCACTGCTGAGACTCCAGCAGGATGTTATGTCACTAAGCTCAAATAATCTCAAACTGTTTTGTTTTTTTTGTGGGGTTTTTTTTGTGGTTTTTTACGTGATACTGAAATAATTATATTCAAATGAACTCCACAGTCACCTCAATCATATAGAGCACTTTTGGGAGGTGGTGGAATAGAAGATTCACAACAAATCTGCAAACAACTCTGTGATATTGCCAAGTCAATATGGGATATATGGAGGACTGTTGACAAAATCTATGCCATGAACAATTAAGTCTGTTCTGCAGGTGACAGGGGGTTTCTAATAAAGTGTCCAGTGAGTCAGCCGGACACTTTATTAGTCCAGTGGATTTGCTAAGCAGCTGAGATGAGGCCCAACATTAAATAAATAAGGATTATGTTCAACTTCTATCACGCAAAGCTAATTTAATGAAGTCCGAGAATAAATAGTGATCCTATTGACTGTATCAATACCAGCACTGATATTGGTATTGATCAATACTAGCAGATTAGATCAATAGTTTGTTTCTATCCTCTAAGTTCAGTATGTAGCACATGTCTCAAGCATGCACCATGAAAAATGTCAGAACCTTTTTGTATTGACTGTCACATCTATTTAATTTATAACCTATAAAGTCCATTAACAGAGGCTGACCCAGAGTCCTTTAAGCGGGCACATTTACACTCAGAGTCTCCAAAAAACCCAGTTTCAAAATATGTGAAAACCTGAAATGTGTGTTTTGTTGTGTCAAATAAGTAAATAAGTTGTAGAAAGTTAAAAACTTGTGATTTATTGTTCAAAATGTGCAAATCAGTGATAATTCATCCAATAAATCATGACACAATGCATTCGCCTTCAGCTGGCTTTATGGGCGTTATTGGTATCGGCAATAAGGGCCTTCTATTTACTTGGTGTCGGATCGATACCAAAATTTGCAGTATTTTACCACGTTAATGCCCTAAATGTTCTCCACTGCGGTGGATAGCTGTTTTTACGGCTGAGTATAATGACTCCAGTCACTCCTGGCTGCTGAGATGATGACAGGAGTCTGTCATGTGTGCAGAAAACTTCCTGCGCCGCAGCTCCTCCTCAGCCTGCCTGTTATTGTTTACGGTCGCACTCATGAAAAGTAGGTCATGGAAAACAGAAGCCCGGCGCGCTGTCTTGTCTGAACTAGCTTGTAATACGAGACACTCAAGGGGCGACGTCTTTGCGGGTTTAGCGGTTTTTATGTAGAAACTGAATGTGACCAACAGTCAGGTAATAAGAACGTCTCGCTTTTATTTTTCAGCAATGGTAGAAGCGTTAGCTAACGAAAGCTAACTAGCTAGCCTAAACAGGTTTGACCGATTTCTTGATGCATGTCATCAGATAAATTGCGACCTTATGTGCCTTAGATGTATTTCCCGTGTTGCAATGTAAATACGTATCGATAATAACCAGTAAAGTGCTTCTGACCTTGTTATTACCAGCTAACATGTTCATACATGCGCGGCTCTGCTGGCTAGCCACGTAGCTAGCTTTAGCTGTTTGTGTTAGTTAGTTTAAAAAAATTGCTATTTGTGAAAAATAGTCTCCTACATAAACAAGGGGGTAATAATTTTTACTTGTGATATAATTTATTTGTGGACAAAGTTAGCCTATGCTAATGGTGATGTGTGTAAGCGTTAGCCGATACAGAGGGGATGTTTCAGTGGGATACGGCTAATGCTGCTCTGAAAATGCTTTCTGAAATGTCTTAAATAACATATATTAAACATGAGATTCGAGGTCGGGTTGCAGGATTAATTTAAAATATAGTACTACAAATGCGTGGTGTAGGAAATGTTGCCATACAGACAAGCCAGGATATATGAATAATACACATTATACGTCACACGGGGTCTGCAGACAGATGCACGCCTCTGTCGTTCAGTACTAAAAGCAGCTCAGTTAATGTGAGTTCTTGTTTTTTTGTTTTTTTCAAGATAATCATATTACATTGTTGTCTTTCAGCAGCTGGACTGATGCTGTTCTTCCAACATCTGGACTAAACCTCAGCAGACTGGCAGGTTCTTCCTACAGTGAGACTCTGCTGCCATGTCCAGGAGAAGCAGGAACAGTCGTGCATGGAGATATGTGTGGGGAGGCATACGGAGGGATGCTGATGCCCGGGCCCTTGTGTTGGCTTCTGAGAGTGAAGAATGGAACTATGATCGCCTTGAGGTTAGGGCTGGGCGATATGGCCTAAAATCCATATTACGGTATAATTTGAAACATGTGTGGTAACGATATATATCGCGATATATTCTTTTCTTCTGTATAACGTATTTTGTACACTATGAGGCACACTTAAAATCCTTTAATTTTCTCAAAAATCAACAGTGCGCCTTTTGTATGAATTCTGGTTGCGCTTACTGACCTCGAAACGATTTTATGTGGTACATGGCGCAGAAATCTGTCAAAAATGTTTTAGTACGACTTTGGTAGGCTTGATGGATTGCTGGAGCATTACGGCTACCTTGCGGAGTAATCTGGCTCCAAAACTCCATCTTCTTCAGGTCCCAAAGTCAAACGAACACTGCAACATCACTGAGAGTTAAAAACTGTCTAAATTCTTTAATAATCTTTAATAAAATGATCAGTGTTGCTGCTTTACCAGGTGTAACAATTAAGTTTAACATCCAGGCATCCATGAAAACTTAAAATTTATTAAATTCAACTGAGTTAGAAGTTAGCAGGAAGTTAGCTCGCTAGTTTCCACCTAAACATGATATGCCATGTTCTGACTGAGAGATTTCTGAAAAAATTAAGATGTACAGCTCTGCTATCACTTCCAACATAAATGAAGACCGAAAACTAAACAGCAGTGACGTTTGTAGGGTTACTGAAGTTGGGCTAGCTGGTATATAATGATATGCTACGCGATTGCTAGCTAAACAGCTATGTTAGCATAACATTAGCACAGTGAAGCTGAAGGACTAACTTTTTTCCGCTCGATAAAAGTTAACATGAGGGTTTCTGCTGGTTAGGGACAAATGCAATTGCATGGCAGGATGCTATAAACGGACCAAACTTCAGTCAGGAGAACAACTGAGATAATCCATCCACAAGGTTAGTCATTAATATACTGCAACAACATGGGAATAGAGCAGCTGCGAGAGAATTCAGCATTAATGAATCAATGGTACGGAAAGTGCTTCATCTCTTTGCTATTACTATCACCCAGCATAATTTGCAGATGATGTTGTTTGCAGCCGCTGCAATGCTTTCGACCAAAACAGGTGCAGCTTAATGACACCATCAACATGCGCTATCACGGTAGAGCGGTATAGTCAAAATCTCTACCGTTGGCCAAATTTATATAGTTTCTACCGTATACCGTTTATACCGCCCACCCCTACTCTAGATGTTTCTATGCTGAAAGGATATTGATGGAAAGCATTGTTTGCCTCCTCCAATGCAGCATCCCCATTTAGCATTTTTTCGTAGGCTGACAGTGAAGTCTGTGCATAAATAACACTGCAGACAGTTCATTTTGCTCTTTTTATTTCTTCATTGTTGCTCCAAAGTACGCAAGTGATTCAGACTCTGAGGGAGACTTTTCAGCAGTGATGGTCCCACCGGTCCCCAGCGCAGTACCCGTCACCGGAGAGTCCTACTGTGGTTGTGATTCCCAGGCAGAGACCAGCTACAACCCTCGTCTGCGAGGCTTTCTCCAGGTTAAAGACTGCCACTGTGGAGAGGATGACCAAGGTACATGACAGCTGGGGCATGACACAGTACATCATCTTTTTTTATGCTCATTATTATTTAATAAATGACTCGTTATGTTTCAGATTTTGATTGGGTTTGGGATGCCAACAGCCGATCAACGGCAACATTACTGAGCTGCGAAAATCGCAAAGTGAACTTCCACTCTGAATACAGCTGTGGTACAGCTGCAATCCGCGGCTCCAAGGAGCTTGCAGACGGGCAGCACTTCTGGGAAATTAAGATGACGTCCCCAGTGTATGGAACAGACATGGTAAAGCTCGACTTCGTATTTTCCTTACAGTCACCAAAAATTGTCCTAGAAGCAGAAGAAATGTTTATTTGTGCCTAAATGTTTATTTCTGCACAGATGGTTGGTATCGGTACATCTGATGTCAATCTGGACAAATACAGACATACCTTCTGCAGCCTGCTGGGAAAAGATGCAGACAGCTGGGGGCTTTCTTACACTGGTAACTTAAACACAAGTGCCCCTGATATAACGGTAGTTGCTCAAAAGGGTTTTTATATTTTAGACATCATTGGTTTTATTCATTTTCCAGGGTTGTTGCATCATAAAGGAGACAAAATGAACTTCTCCTCACGTTTTGGTCAAGGTTCCATCATTGGAGTTCATTTGGACACGTGGCACGGCACACTTACATTCTTCAAAAATCGAAAGTGCATAGGTTTGTGGAAAATTTTCTACTGATTAGATTACATAAATACTAATTTATTTCTGATTTGTCCCTGGTCACACAGGTCTACAAAATGAGCAGCAAACGGCTTGGAACCACAAACATCCTTGCAATTGCTTTATTTGATAGCAGATTGCTTCCTTTGCCTGTAGTTTGCACAGACGATGCAGATTTATCTGCAAAAACTCACCAACTACTTTCCAAGAGGTAGTGAAAGTGTGAAAAGTTGAAAATGCTAGAAACCAAAGCAATTATAAGGAGGTTTTTGGTGACCAATCTTTGCAGCCAGTTTCACCTAGCAACTGGTGGCAACCTCCAGCAACCACTATAAGTTCATAAGCCTTTTTCCATTTTAACTGCAGGTTCCCAGTGTGTTGTGGACCAGCTTGTAAGCCTGTGTGACTCAGCCCTAATAGGTCAACTGTATGCAAAGGCGAAAGAGTTTTTATAATCATAAGAAACAGATGCTGTTTAGTGGAGACCTTGTAATATCTTACAAGAATGTGAACTGCAGTGTGCTCCTGAAACTCAATAATACAGGTTTCTCGCCTGTCTTGATCCAGGAGTTGCTGCTACAGAGCTGCAGAATAAGAAGTTTTATCCAATGGCGTGCTCCACAGCGGCAAAGAGCAGCATGAAGGTCATCAGATCCTGCTCTGCACCCACCTCCCTGCTGTACCTGTGCTGTGCTCGTCTTCGCCAGCTGGTGCCAGACTGTATAGACATCCTAGATGTGTTGCCCCTACCACCTGGCCTGCGTCATTTGCTCCACAACAAACTGGGTTGGGTGCTCAGTCTTAACTGCGGCACAATGGAAGAAACCCCAGATGGGGCTGAGCAGTCCTCACGTTTGCCTGTCCCCGCCTTGGCAGGACCGTCCTCCTCTGAGAGCGACTCAGAGGGTTGTTCGTCCGATCCGGAGGCCTGTCAGAGGAAGAGATGCCGCTGGACATGACTGGGCGACTCGCATCCTACCTCCCTGGCAGACATTAGTGTCCTTTGGCATCTGATGTAGTGTTACTGAACTGCCTCAAGCTTTCTTTATTAGTGTCGTCTGGAGAAAGTAACGAGGGCGCTCGAGCGGAGGGAACTAAACGTCGGTGGAAAACTGTGATCTTCTCTCATGCCATTCTTCATGCTCATCACATGTCGAGTATTAAAGCCAGCTTCAGTAAAAGGTGAAAATATACCATGTTATTTTGTTATGGGTGGATGTGGTGGTCATCAATATGGGGAGGGTTAAAAAAAACAGATACTGTATAGAAATTTTCTGTATTTTCATCCCGTATTCTGCATTTAATGTCTGTTTTTCTCATTTTAAATGTTGTCAGTGAGTTATCAGAGGACTTTGTTACTTGTTTCAATGGCATCTGCAAGTTTCTCCTATGTTGCTCAGAATCAGCTGATATTCTATATTTTGTAACTACTGTTCGCTTCTTAAATGCTAAAAGTTAACAGTAAATGAACCTGAGTGCACTTTGCAGCTTTTAGCCTTAAAAAAAAGCGATAACGTTTGAGCAAAGCATGCACCTCTCACGACACATCAGATAATCGTCATTTCTTGAAAAATATCTGTTATATGCTACATTCACGGAGACATCATCCATCTAGCTTCCAGCTTTTTTTTTCCTTCTAAAAAGCTGTGTGCATTATTTAGTGTAGCCTTTTAATGCTGATATTTTAACTTTTTCATTGCTGTTACTTTTTATGTTTTAAAAGTCAAAGTTTCTTTCTTTCTAGATCCATCATCAAGCTATTATTTTGGTATCTCTGTTTAAAAAAAAGTCTTTGTCAAAGCAGCTTTTCTGGCCCCGAATTAAGTTCAAGCTCTGTGTTTTAAATCCACTCAGTGCAGTGGATGAGCAGAAAATAGGAAATATGAAATTGTGTACAGAAAGATATCCATCCTCCTGCTGTGTAATCGGCTCCCACACTATGTGTTTAATATGAATACGGTTCACTTTGTCCAAATATGGGTTTATATGGCTAAAGGTGTCATCATTGTGACAGACTCAGTGCTACTACTGCTACAATGACCATTGAGACTGAGACCATGCACAGTGAGGTCGAGGAGTCTGTGAAAAGGATTGTTTTGGCTCTGTTCACCACCACAGTCGATCTGAAGTGAAGCAGTCAAGCTGTGACTGAAGTGTAGACGTATCAAGAGACTTAATATCCTTTTTTTCTCTCATTTTCAATGGTGATCGTGGCTCAAGAGTTGGCTGTTCGTCTTGTAATTGGAAGGTTGCCGGTTCGAGCTCCGACAGTCTCGGTCGTTGTGTCCTTGGGCGAGACACTTCACCCGTTGCCTACTGGTGGTGGTCAGAGGGCCCGGTGGCGCCAGTGTCCGGCAGCCTCGCCTCTGTCAGTGCGCCCCAGGGTGGCTGTGGCTACAATGTAGCTGCCATCACCAGTGTGTGAATGGGTGGATGACTGAATGTGTAAAGCGCTTTGGGGTCCTTAGGGACTAGTAAAGCGCTATACAAATACAGGCCATTTACCATTTAAAAGTAACACGGATGGGCCTGAGATGTCTTCGCCTACATCTTATTTTCCACTCAGGCAGTGGACGGAGCAACATCACCTAAACTGCATCACTGCCCAAAAACCTGACTGTAGCCATGTTTTGATTGATTCATCGATTATTGGGACATTATACCTTTTAGAAAAGGTTATGTTTCAATAATCTCCTGGGACCATAAATGGTAAAAAAAAAAAGATGGACATAGCGTCACCAAGAATTTCTGCTGTTGCCGTCTTGGCATTTTGGTATCCAGTGCAATGAGAAGGAGGTGGAGTTGACTATAAAAGCGCATGTGAGCATGTCCACCTTTCTTACATATGCAGTGCTTAACAAATTTACCAGACCACCAGTCATAAAAAAAGTCAACCATAATATTCAACCACTAAAGCTTAAATAACTGTAATTTGGCATATTGTTAAAAATTAATTATGTGCTTTGCTATTTTTTTCTGATTTTTTTAAAAATAAAACAGTAAATATTCTAAAAAAATCCAATCATTAGGATTTTGGTAATCCTGAGTACTGATAATTTAGGGCAGCTGTGGCGTAAACCTTTCACTGGGAGGTGATCTGAGAAATTTGCTAAGCACTGTGGAAGGAGTCAAATTTACAAAATAGATTTAATGCTCTTTAGAACATTAAATCTATTGCAGCAAAGTGTTTACAGATCTCTCAGCAGGGGGCGCATTTCCCCAGAGATTACTATGGGACCAGAAGTCTTTTAGGAACCACAGGTATCGCCCCCTGGTGGCTTCTGTTCAGACCTGAGACACTTAGTCCATCTTTTATACTGTTGATGCCTGGGACGTACCATAAAAGAGTAAACATGCATGCTGCAGCTGTGTTTTGCAGCTTGCCCTAATATATACAAACACTTTTGTATATAAATGTTTTTCAGTATAGAGAAGCTGAGAGTACTTGATGAGTATTTGAGTGTTCATGAATGACAGCCTGGGGTACGGTGAGACATGTGGGTCAGATATGTAAATAGATTCTCTGTAGTCGCAAACCATAATAATGAAACATTAGTGTTTTGCCCAGAGGTCAGACACCCGTTTCTGATGTCCTCAAAGTTCCTGGTTTCAGTACAGTGATACAAATACCTAAGGTACTATGCAACACAAGCATTCTCTGAGGCAGTGGGTGAGGTTAGGGAGTCATTATGGAGCAGCAGGGATAGTACCAGAGGACCATGCTCATCACTCACGAGCCACAGATCATCTAGTTGAGTCTTTCAGCCGCCTCGTCCTCCATATAGAGTAATGTAACCACCAGGAAGTTAATTGTGGTCCAGCAGATGAATTTGTCTTCACATTGATGCATCAAAGCACTTTTTTCTTACTGTTTTACTGTAAATTCTAAGTGTTTCTTCTATACTGTGTCATATTATTAATACTGTATGTGAGGGCCTTCACTTGCCTTTCTCTGTATCAGCATGATTTTCAGCTGAAAATAAAATGAATGCTAAATATGCAGCATGGGCTCCATTCGTTCATTTAGTAGCAGCAAATTCGTTTTTTGCTGGCCAATTGGGCGCTTGTTAAAGAGGTCGGGTTTTTGTTGTGAATGTTTCTGCAGCTGACAGCGACTCGTTGCTGTTTGTGTCTCATTTCTCACAGCACACTCATCTTCCCCATCCTCCTGTGTTCTTTAGTAATGACGATAAGTCCTTTGTTTACTGTCTGGTGTTAATCTGCACTCACAGACACTTTGTTAGGTACACCTTAGTGGTCCCAAGTTTGGCCCTCTGTTGCCTGCAGAACTACTTAGTTCATTGTGGCGTAGATTCAACATTTAACATCCTAAAGGTGTTCAAAGCTCCCCCCTCTGACACTAAGAACCAAAGTTCAGAGTCACTTAAATCACCTTTGTTGATGCTCACTTTAAACTTGAGCAGGTCTCTGTCTACATGCCTAAATGCATTTGCATTTCAGAATATTGATTATTGATTATTATAAATGCACATTAAAGAAAGCTTAACAATTAATATTACATATAGTTGAAAAGAAGTTTCTTTTCTTTTGGGGGGTTTAATTTTGAAAATGACTCACAAAATATGTTTTCGCCTGTCATTCATTTCAACTGCCTGTAAGTTTTCTTTGCGTTTGGTTTAAGGAAAAGGACATACAGCAAGCAAAATTGGACTAAGACAGACGGGCTAGTGGCTCTTGTGGTCCTCCATAGAGGGGGACTAAACGGTGAATTATTGAGATAAGAAGGAAGGAATATCGATATTTATAACAAATAAATTAATACATAAAGTTACTTAAATGAAACGGATTTGTTTGGAAACTGAGTAAACCCACTGCATCTTAAAAACACATTAATTGGTGGTTTTGCTTTTAAAATACTTTGTATTTACTGTGTTCGTGTGTGATTGCCTGGCATACGTTTTATTGGCTAATCTAAGCTCTCTTATAAAATGATAATTTTTCATTTCTTAATTTTTTTTAAATTATTTTTTATGAAGACGGAACTTCTCCTTACACGGAACAAAAGCACGCTGGCTGTTCCCACGGACCATTTTATGCCCGGACCAAGAGCGCGTCGGAAGCTCTGCACCTTGCTTGCGGAGGTCAAGTAGCGGCAGTTCTCTTCTGGGGAGTTTTCAGGTATTTAATGTAGATATTTAATGATTTTAAACACTTTCGATAGTAGCTCACTGCTATGGGTAACAAATGTTTGGAACGACTTATAACTGGTGTTATTTAGCACGGAGCCGGGAACACCGGCTAACAGGATGCTCTCCATTTGATTGCATTTTTATTTAGTTACTCTAACAGGTCAAAGACATAATTCAAGATCAGCTATGACATGATTTATTTTTATTTTTCAGGATAATCGCTGACCCGTGTCTATCGTAGCTGTGAGGAAGACACCGCAGTTATGGTGAAGAAAAAGAGACTTCGCCTCATCGCGGAGATGGCTCGGAAGATTCGGGCGTACAGAGAGCTCAAGTCCCGGCCCCGGGAGTCCCAGAAGTACGCCTTGGACTACGAGACAATGAAACGGCCCTTCACGGGGAAGATGCTGCCGGTGTTAGCATGGCAGGACGTCCGCAGGGAGAGCCGCCTCTTCTCCTTGCTGGCCGGGATGAGGCTGTTCGGAGTGGGCCGACTCTTCACCCGCAAATCCTGGCTGGAGGACCACTCCGAGCCCAGCTACTGGCAGATCACCAAGGTCAAGGTGGACTACACATCCGAGGTGAGAGCATGGAGCCTGCACACTGTTATGCTAGATAAAAGGGAGATTCCTGTTACTAAAGGAATGGAAACTATTCCTTGTGTTTTGTAGAACATGGATCACGGCAAAGCGTGGGGCATCCTCACTTATAAAGGTAAGATTAGTTTTATCTATTAATAATAATAATATCACTGTTTATGGTCATTGTAGCCTGTGTTGTCTTATTTGTTTTTACTGTAACAGCCATTTTTAATCAGTATTTTATGAATACCCGTGTTGCCTGAAATGTGTGATTTGGTAAATATTCTCCAAACAAACTATCGTTTGCAGGGAAAAAGGAGAGCGAGGTCAAAGAGATGGACAAGGTGATGTACCATGACTGGCGCCTGATTCCCAAACACATGGAGCAGCAGTTTAAGGACTTTGAGCCTCTGCCCGAGCCGCCCGTCCGATACGTCGCCTACCCTCCCCTGCTCCGCGCAATGCTGCTGGCACAACAGAAGAAAGCAGGAGGCAGCAGAGCGGCAGAGGAGCCCGTCCTGCCTTTAAAGAGGGATGTTCTACTTAACAAAGACTATTTCCACACGCAGGAACAAGAGCGACAGAGGAAAGAGGGGACTGCGGTGTAATGGCCTCACTTGAATGTTTACCGATCCTGGATATTTTTGGACTAGATCATTGTTGACAAATGCTTCTCAATATCTGGCTGAATCTTCCACTCAGAATACTTCTCTGTGGGTCTGATGCAGGCCCTTGTGCGTGTGTGTGTTATTGTTGTATGCTGAATATTAAATTTGAGATGAAATGTAGCCCCTTTTAAGTTATTTCTGTTGTTTCTATGTGCAGGTAATTACAGCTGCATCACATCACAGTCCACTGCAAACTTGTAACTTTGACTTGGATATATTCTGGTTAAGATCTGAGAACTTAAAAAAAAAAAAAGCCCAGCTGCTTTATCAGAGTATAAAAGTAAACAGTAGCCTTTAGTCATTTTCTTGTATAATAATACAATTAAAATGACTGAAGGGGACATGTGCATGATGTTGCAGTTCATACAGTGTTTTTCAACATTTGACCCCAAAGCTGCATGTGCTACCAAGCTAACCTACATAGTCACTTCGCAAATTATGTTAAACATGGAGTCACTGGTAGTTTTTAGTATACTGCTGCCATTCTGCTGGTTTATTGCATTTCCTATGATTTGTGTTTTAAGAAGGCAAACCTTTGCCAGGATATTAAAAGTACATTTTAATGAAAAGGATCTTAATCCAGTGTAGAGTGTCGTACCACTGGTCAGATTCAGACATAAATAATAAATGAAGGCATCTGTTCATCAACTATCTCAACTATTCATCTGATCTGCTTAAAAATGTGCATATCTATTGCTGGGGACCAAAGTGAGAACAATGTGGAGATTGGGGTCAGTACAGCTCCTGGGTGTGAAAAGTCACATCAGTGTCTTACATGAGTATAATGGCCAGCTGGCGGCACACTCCTCTAGTTAGAAAAACAATTTCAACAAAGAAAGTTGAAATGCTGAGATACCTAATTTAAAATTTCAAGATAATCTGAAAATTTGAATCATAATTGTGCAACACAATTTTTCCATAAGCTACCCATCTGTCATCACACCTGTTTGCAAAACACCTTAAAGAGCCGTAAAAATGCACAGCTTAAAAAAATAGGTGATATTAAGGTGGTGTCCATCTTCCATATACAGTCTGTGTTTCTCCCCGTTATTGGGTAAATAGGTGAAGCCTGTCAATCAGGCAGCAAGCTACGACCCCCACCCCAGCCTGTTGCCTCACCATGGGCAACTCCATCAATGTGTGTTGCTGTTCTGTTTAATTACATTTTATATACAAATGAGGACAGAAATATTAGTCCCCCTATTAAATTTCATTTACAAAAAGAAAGAAAAAAGTAGCTCCCAAATAATGTTTTTTTTTTTTTTTTTTTTTTTCTAAATGACATCAGAAACAGCAGTATGCGACATTACGTGATGGCAGAGCTTCAGTTCATCCTTTGTCATTTTTTTTTTTTTTTTTTTTTTAATAAATAGGACAGGGGGAATGAATGAGAGAGAGAGGGGGAGAGAAAGAAAGAAAACCAAAGGGGAGAAGAGACGGTGAGAAGGGGGGGGAAGAGAGACAAAAAAAAAAAAAAACTCCTGGGTCACCTGTATGGAGAAAACAAACAAACAAACAAACAAACAAACAAAAACAAACAGAGGAGACAGCAAACAACAAAGAGCAACATAATAATAGAGAAAACAAAGCACCATACCATCACAATAAACTAGCTAGTCATAGATATCAGTATTTACTAAGTAATAAACGATATTGTGCAGCACGCAAGATAGACAGCGCACAGTGTGCTTTGAGGCAGCAGCCAAGAAAGCTTTAGTCCGCGTCTGTGAATACCCATGTGTGCATACCTGTGTGGATCAGCATGCTTGCATTCCAAAGGTTTCTCCATGTAATGATCTGCTAGGGAGTGTGGGGGGGCCACAGCCCCGTCCTCCAGGGTGTGAAGCGGGTATGGAGGAGATCAAAACTCCAGACATCCAGAGGCCCCCAGAACACAAGAGACCATGGAAGACCAACAGAGGGGCAGCCGCGCCACTGTCCCAGTAAGAGCTGAGGAGAGTCCCAGATGAGGGCTCGCCCAGCAGCCGCGGAGCAGAAGTCAGGGGGAGTTGCAGTGACGCGCCCGTGAGCTCCGCCGGCCCCCAGCTGCGCCTGAGTGACCGAGCCCTAGGCCGAGAGGCCGGGGGCACCCCACCTCCAAAGGGGCCGAGCGAGCCCCAGGCCCCAGGCCCCGACAAGCGGCCGCCAAGGAGTGAGCCGGTGTGTACCCGGACGCCCACCCCCAGACACAAAGAACCACCAACACACCGACACCTGAGGGAGTCCGCCACCGGCAGGGGAAGTGGTGGTGGGTGGAGATAGGCCTCCAAACCTTGGAGGGCCTGAGGTGTCCCCAGAGAGGTGGCGTCTGATACCCAACCTGACATATAGACACAGACATACAGGCACACACAGACACAAACATCCATTCCCACCTTCATGCTCTCATATGCACTCACTCCACACTCAACCAACGTGGAGACAGACATAAAGAGACGCTGTACACACGATCACACTCCCCAAGTGTACTCTACAAACCGGGTCTAGGTACCCTTGCCCCTGGAGGGGGGAATTGCACCCAGACCCAGGTGGTGTTACCCTTTTCCCTGCGGTGGGGAGAGGCAGACCACCCCGACTCCGCAGCAGCAGGGAGGCCCCACACCCCAGACCGCAGTCGGACGGCCAACTCCTCCTACTAGCCCTCCCGCTCCAGCAGGCCGCAGAGAATGGGGGTGGGAGAAGACTCCAAACCTCCCTCCACCCGCTCATTGTAGTGTTGATGCATATGTGTTCTAAGGTGCAATTAAAACCCAGGAGGGCATGGAGCTACCTGCCAAGGAGCAGCAGGTAAGCGCATAGTCCCTCCTGCTAACCCTCAATGACTAAGTGTATTTAAAATTGAGAGGTGGGCAACGACGTCAGGGGTGAGGTATACACCCTGATGGTGATTTGGACTCCGTGATTGTGCCCACCCCCAAGATCCTATATGTATGTGTAATGAGAGTGTGAATAATGTGAATGTCTAAGTTGTGGGATAAAATTGAGGCAGAGGCAGCCAGAAGGGGACAGGGGGGGGGGGGTAGCCTCCTCTGCACCCTGGTGACATACCCCCACTCCAAGGCCCTGCATGTGTGGGTGGTTGTGGAGGAGCGGGAAGAGGGAGGCAGCTGGAGATGGGGAGGGAAGGAAGGGAGGGGCAGGTAACCCCTCCCTGAGGCCAGCTCCCCCGCTGACCCCAGTAGGCACTCCCACCCTCCGCGACCCGCCAGGGAAGGGGGGCCCAGGCCCATCAGACCGGGGCCCAGTGCAGTAGCGCCCCCCGGCTCCACAGAGCCCTGGACAGTCCACCCAACCCCACCACAGAGAAAACTGCACCCACCCCACCAACCACACATCTTCCAGACTACATAAGACGGTAAACGCCCAGGCTGAGATCTTCCTCCACCTCTCCTGTATCTCCCCCTCCTGCAGAGAGTTCCTGAGGAGAGGAAAGCTCCTGCAAGATGTGACCATCCCCCCCACCAGTTGAAGAGCCCCCCAGGCGGCTCGATGCACTGGCGGCACCCTGCTCCAGGGCCGGGCCCCCATGCACCCACCCGCCCACAACCCCGGCAACACACCAACCAGGACCCGAGCCCCGAGGCCCGGCCCGGGCCCCAGCCCAGAGACGGAGCGCCCCCAGAACCTCACGCCCATCCCGGACCCACCCAGGGGCAGCCAGGTTGCCAGGTCAGTAACCCACGTCCGTCAGCACAGACCCTCCCCTAGCCCCGCTGCACGCAGCCGCGAGGAAACAGTCACCTGAGAGCCAACAGAGCCCTCAACCGGACGTGACCGCTACCCCGGGTTGAGCCCCCCAAGGAAGATACCTCCGGGGAACCCCCCGACGCCCTAAGCCTGTCCCTACCCCCTCACCAATCACAACAGTGAAGGCGGGACCAAACTATGACCCCCCACCCCCACTAGGTGATGGAGCTGATAAAAGGGGCCCAGAGCAATTGATCTGATGTGGTGGCAGAGGCTGTGTCAAGACTAATGTAATCTAATAGATAATTTCTATATTGGTTAGAATTAAGATTATTTTTATTTTTCCAGTTCATGAGGACTGTTTTCTTGACTATGCATAGGGCAGTTAAGATCATATGGGCTATATTCTTTTCTGAAGTGACATTATCTAAGCTGCCCAACAAACACACTAAGGGGGAGGTTGGAATGTTACATTTCAGACATTTTGATAAGTCTTCACATATCTCGCGCCAAAACTTTTGCACTGGTGGACAGAACCAAAGAGCGTGGATGTAATTGTCTGGTGTATTGCCTTGACAGTGTGAGCAGTTGTTGGAAGATGTAAAGCCCATCTTGAACATCCGATGACCTGTATAGTGCACTCTATGAAGTATTTTGTATTGTATTAATTGCAGACTGGGATTTTTAATTAATTTAAAAGTTTTTAAGCAAATCTGAGACCAGAAGTTTTGGTCTAGGTTGACTGATAAATCTGCTTCCCACTTTGCAGTAGGAAGGGATATTGATTCATCTAATTTAGAAAGTGTTCTGTATATTTTAGATAATAATTTGGGGGATTTAAGAGTAAGAAAATGTGCCGCACTTAGTGGTGTTTGTAATTCAACTTGACTGAGGTTAAATTTCTTTTTTACTATGGATTTAATTTGTTGATATTCTAAAAACCTTGTCTTGTTGATCCCATATTGTTCAACTAGTCTGTCAAATGGAATAAATTCTGTTCCCTCTAATATATGTTCTAAGTATTTAATTCCTTTACAACTCCATTCTGGGAAATTAATCATATTATTGTTTTGTAATATGTCAGGGTTATTCCAGATAGGTGTACGTTTGCATGGGATTAATGAAGACTCCGTTATTTTTAGAAACTCCCACCATGCTGTTAGAGAAAAGCTGATGTTGATACTTTTAAAGCATTCATGTCTTTTGATGTTTGAGCTAATAAATGGTAGGTCTGAAATCTCTAGATCCTTGCATAGTGCCTGTTCAACATCTAGCCAGGGCTCAACTAAGAAGGTATGTTTTAACCATTCTGAGATGAACTGAAGCCTGTTGGCTAAGAAGTATTGGTGAAAATTAGGCAGATCTAATCCTCCTCTATCCTTGGTTCTTTGTAGCGTTTTTAAGCTAATACGCGGGGGTTTATCTTTCCAAAG